GTTTTATTGGCATTCTTTCTTGTGCGAGATGTTTGACGAGTAGGATTAAAATGTGATGTCTAACTTGTAAGGATTGCAGAATATGGACTAGGAAGTGAGGTTTCCAAACAAGGTGATGTTTATAGTTATGGCATTCTCTTGTTGGAGATGTTTACGAGAAAGAGGCCTACTGATGACATGTTTAAAGAAGATTGGAACCTTCATGAATTTGTAAAGTCAGCTTTCCCAAATAGAGCGAGTACAATTATTGATCCAATTCTCATTCAAGAAGGAGGCCAATCAGATGACAAAATTATGATGGAATGTTTAATCTCCATACTTGGAATTGGAATTTCTTGTTCGGTTGAATCACCAATAGACCGGATCGACATCAGTGATGCCGCTATGAATCTTTTTTTGATCAGAGATAAGGTAAAAATCTCCCGAGGAAGAAATGCACGCTCGAGAAATATTACTCATATATAAATGAGAAATATATAGTATTGTTTGTTAATTAATAGAAGGAAAGTTCCATAAACTGCAGTTGGTTAATTAATATATAGCATTGTTTGGTATGCTTTCTTTCTTCTTGGGTTAATTATATGAGTGTTGGTTGCAAAAACTTTCAGTTTAGATACCAAAGGAGATGTGTATATAGTTTTGGGATACGGAAAAGAGACCAACAGATGACATGTTTCAGGATAGTTTATGCCTTCACAACTTCTGTAGAACCTTGCGGGAGAAAATGGCTGATCCTGTGGATCCAAAACTGCAGCCTGGTATAAAAAGAGCAAGGATCAACAAGAATGCCTGTTTTCTGTGCTCAGTCTTGGGGTTTCATGTGATGGAGATACCTGGAGACCGGAGGAAAATAGAAGATGTAGTTAAAGAATCACACTGATAAAGTGGGACCTTATGGATCGAAGTTAAGACCTTGTTAAGCTTTCTGAAGTTTCTGTGTTTCATAGATATGTTTAGAATTCTTAATCTTATTTTGTTTTTGTTTTACATATATGTCTGGCTATGGAACTAGTTTGTCACACCAGGGATATTTTTATAATTTTTTTTTTAAAATTATAAGGAGTAAATATTTTTATACAGCCATAGTTGCCGTCACAATCACAGCTAGCAATAATGTTTCCTACCATTTTCTTAAATATAGATTGCTGGACTTTTTGAGCTTGATGTATTGCGGGTGCAAAAAATGTTTGGCCTACCATTTCTTAAAATATAAGCGATTGCTGCGACATTTTTGAGCTTGCAGTGTATTTTTCTTAAATATAGATTGCTGGACTTTTTGAGCTTGATGTATTGCGGGTGCAAAAAGCCAAATAGAACTAACAATATGTAACATTACCCTGCTTAGAACTTTCAACCAGTCAATTTGTAGAAATTTAGTAAATTAAGAATGTTTATAAACAAAAAACATGTAGTATAATATGGGATTTCATATCATAATCATTCCTCATAGTAGTCCCTCAGTTTGTCTTCCATTGTATAGAGAACCTTTTAACTCTGTGTAGGAATGAGCTCTGTATATTTCTGGTCTTGTTTTTTAAACTCTGCTACTGTTTGTCTGTTGTTCTTTGTCACAGGAACATACTCAGTTGGTGGAAATGATACTGATCAACAAGCCCTGCTCGGGTTCAAGGCCGGAATAGCATCTGACCCTTTTGGAGTTATGAGCTCATGGAATGGTTCCATCCATTTCTGCCAATGGTATGGGGTTACTTGTGGCCGCAGGCACCAGAGGGTCACAATTTTGGACCTCAGTTCCTTAAAACTTGGGGGTATCATATCCCCATATATTGGTAATTTGAGCTTTCTAAAGGTACTACACCTTGATAACAACATATATTGCGTAATTTCGAAGCTTTCCTAAAGCGTACGTTACACCCTTTGATTATAATCAATTAAGGGGGCTTCATTCTCGCATAGATATTCTCTCCTGAATCGCGTTGTCTTGTTGGAAGCACGTACAAAAATTTATATTCTACATTAATAAATTTTCATTCATGCTGGTCAGATCCCATCCAAAGTTTCTAGAGTTCTACATCTTAGTTCGTGTTAAGTCTTTGGAAACAACAAATCTAATAGGAAAAGTTCCTGGTGGAGCGTGGCCTATCTCTTGAAGATTCAACTACCGTTCATTATAGCTTGATAAACAATTCTGAACAGGAAAAAACATGATCCTGTCATTTCGAAACTTGTCTTCTCTTACTGCTCTTTTCTGATGCAGCTAGCAAACAATCTCTTACTGCTCTTTCTATAGCTACAAACAACTTTGTTGGAAATATTCCTGATGCTATAGGACAACTTAAAAAACTTAACTTTTTAATCCTCCAACAGAATAATTTGTCTGGCACTGTCCCTTCCTCAATCTTCAATCTTTCTTCTATTGCACATTTGGATGTAGGACTCAACAATTTTGAAGGATTTCTTCCTGCAGACTTATTCACCTCTCTTCCAAATCTTCAAGTCCTGAGTTTTGGTGGTAACCAATTTACTGGTCCCATTCCTAATTCAATATCTAATGCTTCCAATCTAGGTTTTCTTCTGTTGCAGAAAAACTATCTCACAGGAAAGTGCCTTCCTTAAAGATATTGAACATTCAAAATCTTTTAATTGGTGGAAATAGTCTTGGAAATGGAGAAGTTGATGATTTGAGATTTCTCTTTTCTTTGACTAATGCAAGCATTTTGCTGCGGTTGCATATTGGCCAGAATAACTTTGGAGGGTCCTTACCTGAGTGCATTGGCAACTTGTCATCCAATCTTGAATGGTTTTATCTATATGAAAATCACATATCTGGAAGCATTCCAGCTAGTATTGGAAATCTGGTCAACCTGTTGCTTTTAATAGTAGAGAACAACAACCTTTCAGGTATGATACCCCAAGCAATCGAAAATCTGCAAAATGTAGTAGTTATAAGTTTTAGTGAGAACAAGTTCTTTGGACCCATTCCATCCTCTCTTGGAAATCTCACAAGGTTGAGTAAACTTTATTTTTCTAATAATGACCTTCAGGGTACCATTCCTTCTAGTCTAGGTAACTGCACATCTTTGCAAGTGCTGCAATTTTTTGCAAACAATCTCAGTGGTACCTTACCTCCACAAGTTATTAGCCTCTCATCCTTGTCAATTTATGCTGGTTTTGCAAAAAACTACTTCACCGGTTCCCTTCCAACAGAAGTCGGTAATTTGAAAGCCTTAGGTATCTTGGATGTCTCCGACAACCTGTTATCAGGAGAGATACCAAAAAGTCTCGGGAGCTGCACAAGTCTAGAGTACCTATACATGAACGGGTCAATTTATGCTGGTTTTGCAAAAAACTATTTCACCGGTTCCCTTCCAACAGAAGTAGGTAATTTGAAAGCCTTAGGTATCTTGGATGTCTCCGACAACCTGTTATCAGGAGAGATACCAAAAAGTCTCGGGAGCTGCACAAGTCTAGAGTACCTATACATGAACGGGAACCGTTTCCAAGGTTCTATTCCTTTCTCCCTCAGTTCATTGAGAGGTCTTCAACAACTGGATTTTTCTCATAACAATTTGTCCGGACAAATTCCAGGATTTTTGGCTAGTTTTAATTCATTGGTCAGTTTGAACTTATCTTTCAATGATTTTGAAGGCATAGTGCCTACTGATGGAGTCTTCAAGAATGCAAGCATTACTTCAGTTATGGGAAACAGCAAGCTAGCCTATTTGCCATGTCAAAAGATCTAACAAAAGGATACGAAAGGTAATCATTGCTACAATAGCAGGAATACCAGGAGCAATTTTGGTGTTGTTGTCTTTTGTATTTCTTTTGTGGTTTAAAAAGGAAAGACAGAATCCTATTTCATCCAGTTCAGAAGTTCCTCTTCTTGAAGTTCCGAAGGTGTCATTCAACGATCTCCATAAGGCCACTGATGGGTTCTCGTTGGCTAATTTAATTGGTAGTGGCAGTTTTGGATCTGTGTATAAAGGAATTCTTACTGAAGGCCGTCAAACGGTAGCTGTTAAGGTGCTTAACCTCCACTATCATGGTGCAGCTAAGAGTTTCATGGCACAAACGGTAGCTGTTAAGGTGCTTAACCTCCACTATCATGGTGCAGCTAAGAGTTTCATGGCAATGGTGCACGCCAGCTAAGAGTTTCATGGCAGAATGTGAAGCCTTGAGGAATATCAGACATCGAAATCTTGTAAAGATTATAACTGCATGTTCAGGTGTGGACAATCAAGGCAATGACTTCATGGCACTAGTTTATGAGTTCACGGTCCATGGCAGTCTCGAGAAATGGTTGCATCCATCTCTTGCCGCAGTAAATGGAATGCAAGAAAGATACATGTTTTTAAATCTAATTCAAAGAATAAATATTGCAATTGACGTTGCTTTTGCAATTGAGTATCTTCATCATCGTTCTGGGACTCCAATAGTCCATTGCGACCTCAAGCCAAGCAATGTTCTTCTCGATGATGAAATGACTGCTCATATTGGTGACTTCGGGCTGGCAAAATTCCTTTCGCATAGCATCCAAAATAATTTTTCTAATCAATCAAGTTCTGCTGGATTACGAGGAACTATTGGTTATGCTCCTCCAGGTTCCTCCAGGTAGGTGGTTTTTCTTCTTCTTTTTCCTTTTTTTCTTTTTCTATCTTAGGAAATTTCAACTAAAGGAAATTTCAACTTTGCTAGGATTACAATGCTAATTCTTTTACAAGTTCCTAAACTTAATAAATTGGCAGAGTAAATGGACTGGGAAGCGAAGGTTTGCAACACAAGGTGATTTTACAGTTATGGCAATTCTCTTGTTGGAGATGTTTACGAGGAAGAGGCCCTACTGCTGACATGTTTAAAGAAGGTTTAATTCCTTTCACAAATTTTTGTGGAGTCAGCTTTGCCAATGAAGTGAAGTCCCTTGCAGATCATTTCTCTTTCAATGAAAAGGAAGGTCCAATCAAATGAAAGAAACTATGATTGAATGTTTGATTTTCCATACTTGGGATTGGAGTTTCTTTGTTTCCCTGAAATTGTCAAGAGAAGCGGATGGACATTAACGCGATGCTGCCATAGAGCTTTGTTTGAATCCAGAGAATAAGTTAAAAGACCTCCCAGGGGAAGAAAATTCAAGCCCCAGGGAAGAAATTCAAGCTCAAGCAATTCTAGTCATGCATGAAACTTTCTTTGTTAATGTTATTTCTGAAGAAGAAATTTAGATGTAGTTTAAATTCCACAATGCTTTAATTGCTAAATTAGATGCTGAATTTTTATTAATTGTTTGCAGCATTCAGTGGTCGTGGTTGTTGTTGTTTGTACATATAGTTTCTAGTTTTGCACTATTATATACAGCCTTGCTTTATTTATTAAGCTGCATCTGCTGTTTTTCAGAAATCAACGAATTCAGTTAATGGAATTGTTTGCAAAATTAAATTGCTTAATTTTGGAGCAAACTTAGATTTTCTTAATTAATTAAATTAATAAAAATCAATGCTTTTAATCACTTAGATTTTCTTAATTAATAAAATCAATGCTTTAATCCTTATTATGCACTGATTTCAACCTTTTCTGTTTATTTGATTTCAATATATAAAAGAAAATAATCAAAAACGGATGGTTATTATATATTCCAAAAGCTTTGGTGAGTTTCTCCTGATTTAATATTTACTGTATTGCAGCCATAAGTGGTTGTGGTTGTTAATGATAATATTTCCCACTTCTCAAGTCCTATCAACTTCCTCTTTTAGAATGTTCAATTGCTAGGTTCGCTTCTTTTAACGCTGACTAAGTCTTTGTCTTGAATTTCCAAGTTCTTGACTTTTGTTTTTTTACTGTCCTAGTTTTAAATATTCAATAATGATGGCTACTATAAAGTGTATAGTTTTTGAAAAGAGAGAGTTTCATTTTTCTATATTTTGCGTTGTTATTTTCTAATCTCTACTATACTATATATATGTATAAAAGATTGTTCCAATATAAGAAGTAATCTAAATAGGATTAAACCTAAACTAGAAAAGACAATATTTACTCTAATTATAAAGATTTCAACACTCCCCTTCAAGTTGGTACATAGATATTATTCACGCCCAACTTGCAAACTAAATGATGAAACAACTTGCTATTCAAACTCTTTGTGAAAACATCAGCTAGTTGCTCTTTTGAAGCTATATAGGAGACACTTATAAAACCTTCAACTATCTTCTCTTTTATAAAGTGATTTATAAAGTGATGATCAATCTCTATGTACTTAGTTCGGTCATGTTGGACTGGATTATTCATAATACTGATGGCTGTTTTACTATCACAAAACAAGAATATATTTGTTGTTTCAACTAACTTTAACTCTTCCATTAATCTGCGCAACCATAAGAGTTCACAGATTCTCTGTGCCATAGTTCTATATTCAACTTCTGAACTAGACCTTGCAACAACAATCTGCTTCTTGCTTCTCCATGTGACCAAGTTTCCTCCAACAAAAATACAATAACCTAAGGTTGATCTCCTGTCATCAAGGGAACCAGCCCAATTTGCATCTGTATACCTTGTTATTGTCAAATGACCATGTTTAGAAAATAAAAGTCCTCTACCTATTTTTAGAAAATAAAAGTCCTCTACCTAGCAGCTGATTTTAAAAATATGTTAGAAAATCTGATGGCAGCATGCACAGCTTCTAAGTGAGACTCCTGAGGGTCATGCATGTACTGACTCACTAAACTTACAGCATAGGCAATATCTGGTCTAGTATGGACAAGGTAAATTAACCTCCCGACCAATCTCTGATACATGCCAACATCAATTGGACTTCCCACTCCAGCTTGAAGCTTATGATTGGCTTCAATAGTTGATTCTGCAGGTTTACATCC